CTTCAGACCCTTCGAGGTACACGACCTAGATTTCTGTTCTCTCCTAGACATGGACATTTTTTCGAAATGGGGCCTACTCTTGGATAAATGAGTTGCCAGTCTTTCTGTGTAGGCGCTACGCTTTCTTGTACAGCAGTTTCAGCACGAGTAAACTTCGATGGTCAGAGTGAGAGTTAATTTACGACTGGAGGTTTACCGCCAATCAGTTTATCTTGGCGCCAAATCCATTAAGGCTAACGATCAGAGGGTTTTATTTTTTTACAACTGAACCCTTGCGGTCATAGTCCATATGTAACATCCGCTCTGATGAGAAGATGGCTTTGTCTCTCATGAATAGGCTTTCTGTTTATTAAGTGTACGTATCGCACATACAGCGTGTTACTGAAAATTCTTCTTTGCTCTATATATGAGTCCTCCGTCAGTCCAGGCTTTGTAGGGCAGATCATGCCTAGCTTACGTATCTTATGCTACAACGGCAGCTTAGTCACTTGAACAGTCGTAAGCTTGACCGCCTCCAAGTTTAAGCCTCTTATACTTCCTATGTCTGGCTTCGCTATATCAAATGCTGTGAACATATTCATTCTCATTTTGTATGACTTCTGCTTCTTGCCTGCACAATTTTGTTATATAGCAATATACATACAGAAAGGTGAAAGCCGTGTGTAATTCTCGGACCGGTGTGCAACCTGGAAAATTTCCAATGGTGCAGATAACCTTGTTTCATAGGCGTTGCAATTTTAAGAGGTAGGTGTCTGCCCCTAACTCCCAGGTGGGTCAAGCATAAGTCATTACTGAACTAATTAGTGTTTTATGAAGGATTACTTTAATATTGGAGCTTAAAAGCTCACTTTTGCATAGGGAGTAGATTCTGATAAATGTTCTGAAGTTCTTGGCTTCAGTCATCTCTGTATGCAGTCTCCACGTAATCCTCTTATCGAAGATTACACCCAGATATTTTACATGATTGACGAAGGGAATATTCCGTCCATTCAATGTAAGACTAGCCTCAGGGGGGCTTAAGTCTATGAGGAAAGTAGATGGTCTGAGTCTTGCTTTTAATATCTCGGCACTGACCGCCTAGAAAACATATCTTCTTCATTGCTGTATTCTCTTGTTGCTGTGAAAACATGTTTACGGAACCGTTACTTAGCAATGACTGTTGTATAAATGTTTTTTTCGCAGTCCTTGCCTAGCAACGGGACTACGTGCCGCAATATTATTACCAACACGTCCCACATATTTATTCAGATATTTTATTATTTTGAAGCATTCGTTTACAGTCTCAGAAAGTCGGTAACTTCTCACGGCTTCTCAAATCATTGCATTTCTCTGTCCGTATATCCTTGCTTTGATTGGTTTCCAAGCGGTTAAATTTTACAGAATTATTGGGTTTTTGGACTGTTTCCATCTTCCGGAATTCTAGGTAATAGAGTACACTGTAGGTAATAGAGGACACGACTTTGGGGTAACTGGATCTGTTTCCGTCTTCATATGAGAAAGAAAGACACCTACTCAGTTGGGACCCTTAGAAAGAGCTAATCTCAATCACTTGAGATCAGCTCTTTCAAAGGGGCCCAACTGAGTAGGTGTCTTCCTTTCTCACATGAAGACGGAAACAGATACAGTTTCCGAAACGTCGTGTCTTCTATTACCTAGAATACCGAACGATTAAAAAGGTCCAAAAACCCAGTAATTCTGTGTGTCATTCACCATCGTCAGAACCCTTTAGAATCTACATGGTTAAATTTTAGTTCAGCAGAATCGAAAATGTAAAAATTATCTATACCCTGACTTATTTTCCTGGCTTATTTGAGCCCAAATGTTAAATCTGGCTATTTTTTCGAAAATAGTATGGTCTATTTCCAGGTGGGGATTTAATTTCCGTGCTTATTCATATTATAGGATAGTTTAACGCTCCGGTTGTCTTATTTCTTACAATCTACTATACTCTTATCTTCTAATTTATTCATATTTAAATCGTTCTTAATTCACTAATCTGGTCACAGTGTAACTGACTTAACTGATTACAGTTTGAAATGTGTTGACAACATATTAAAGCAATGTTTTGAAATTGCATCTTTATTGACGTTAATTTCTGCTCTTACGTGGTTAATTCAGCTCTACCCATGCGAGCGGGCAGCATTATTATCAAATCCATTGTTGTGTAACCTCAAAAGGGACAGAGTTCTTTGGCGTTGATTGGGGAGACGATGAGCGTAGGCATGTTCATGAAAAGGGACTGTTATAATCCTGCATTGCATTGCACTCCGATATTGGCCCTAGTTGACACCTCTGCTCTCGCGAAAATCAATTACAATATTGAAATAAAAGTTACAAAAGGATTGCCAGCGGCTGTGTCATTAATGACCCTTGCATTCCAGGAACTCTTTGTAATAAACTGTTTTATCTTCATTGGGGGTTTTGTATAGTTAGTTTTACATACAAACACTTCAATAACGACACAAAGTAAAAATATATTGTGATAAATTCTTTCTAAAAAAGACTTTGACCTGATGTTTTTCCTCTATGTCCGGATCTATACCATTTTCACTCTCCCTTACTGAATATCCCAAATGAGAGATTAAAACTCCCGTTTCGTGTTCGTGAGGTCCTGGTTTCAATTCTCCATATACTATCTTGCCTGATATTTTTGTGATTTTCTGTTGTTCCTCGGAGCCAATGCTTGGACAGTGTCTTAAAATGATTCTCTCCTTCGCTTCAGCGTCAGCCCCACATACCGTCGTACATACTGTTCAGTTTAGAAAGCTTAACGAAACACACAGTGTCTTGTTTATTCGACCCTTCTACCGTTCGCATAACAGAGAATACGTAGAAAGTGCTCACGACATGACACAAGTTTAGAAAATTAAACAAAAAATTGATACTAAACCTTCAAGACCGCCTCTGTGGTCTAGTAGTTACAGTTCCTGCCTACAGATCCAGAGGTCCCGGGTTCGATTCCCGGCGCTACCAGTTTTTCTGAGAAGTAGTGTGCCTGGAACGGGGTCCACTCAGCCTCGTGAGGATAATTAAGGAGTTAGTTGAATGGAAAAGTAGCGGCTCCGGTCTATAATGCCGAAATTAAGGGCCGTGGGGATTCGTTGAGCTGACCACGCGACACCCTCTATCCGAAAAAATTGGCACTAACTTCGCCGACAAAGGGCGGTCGCTCGGTCGGTATAGTTCGCTTGTGGACTACAGACCACGGAGTTTGTTTTATTTTTAAATCTTCCTGTGTGGAGGAGGATCCGAATACCTCCATCATAGCCCTGCGAGTCGTATTAGGCGATGAAAAGAGAACCCGGTGCCTGGGGGTATAACTGAGCCACCCTGTCACTGGGGGACATAAATACAGGGACCTATCCTCCAGGTTTTGGGGTTGGACGAAAGGCTGACGACCTTACTCTGTAAAAAAAATGTTGCAAGTCCAAAGAAAGAAATGTAGGTTATCTAATTCATGAAAAGTCTGGCTGTCACTCGCTCAAAAACGACTCTCTTTGCAATTACGATGATGATTATCATGATGAGTTAACAGTAATGATGATACTGATTCAGTCAATCTGTTATTCAGTAATTATCCCATCATTCGACTCTAGATTGCCAGAAATAATTACAGAGTAATTAAATAAACAATTAATTAATTAACACGACTGCCTAGTAACCAGAAGACAGTAGAACCAAGTCCCCTTTTCTCCTTCTTAGACATTATTTTCGTTATAAATTAATATTTTTAATTTTTTCGCCAGTCCGAAAAGTCAACAGGCTTCCGGTGTGTCGCTGAGAGTGTTTCTAAAATTCTGAAAATAATTCGCGTAATATACAAAGAATACATTTAAGCTGGATTGGAGGTTCTCACAGGTGTGGTTATGAAGAGTTTTGTCTTTTGGTGTATAACTCAGTATATTATGTTGAAAGTTAACAGGCGTTTCGGATGAACATTTCTCCTCAATTTTTAGGGTCGACCATGAAACTGGAGGCAACATATTCCTCATAAATATCGATTTGATTTAAACAGAATGTACGGCGTTTTGTTCCAGAAGACAGAACTGTGCGTTCAAGTTGCCTGCTTTTATCCCATCGGGGTAAAATTCGTGGTCTTAATAATAAAATTAGCTGCGCCCTCGATTTTCAACATTTCTAAGTTACCTTTCATATTATCACTCAACATCTCCATATATTACGTTTATGAAGTTCATACAGACTTTGAGACTGATACAGTCGGATCCTTTCAAATTTCGTGTTATCTAAGTTACGCAGTCAACTTGGTAACAAATTCCATTGAACGAGGACCTTCTTTATAGGCGGTAATTGTTCAAGTTTTAAAAAAATGCCTCACCTTGAATGGAACTCAAATGCTCACTAATGTATTCATGAGAGCCCTCTGTTCCGTAGAACTGTCAGACTGGGCTTTATCTGTTGGAAATTTAATTACATATGTTGAGTTGCAATATGGGGAATTTCACTAATTACTGTCATGAACATTGATACGAAATTTCCGAGGCGTTGGGTGAGACACCGGTCTAGAATACCGAAATTAACGGCCGTGGGGATTCGTTGCGCTGACCAAGCGACACCCTCTATCCGCAAAAGGTGGCACTAACTTCGCCGACAAGCGGCGGTCTCTCGGTCGGTATAGTTCGCTTGCGGACTAAAATCACGGAGTTTTTGTTTGTTTGTTTGTTTTTGTTGGGTGAGACAGAGAGCTTCAGGATAGGGGGAAAGCCAGAAATTGTGTATACGGATTTATGTTTAAGCCGTTTGAGAATATTTTTACGGATAACCTTACACATGTGGGTCTCCGTATTATTATGAAATACAGATGAGGTCACAGACGCTGTTCAAATTCCCTTAAAGTTAGTATTTGGTACACTGCATTTTGTTAAATTTGGATTTTTTTTTTAAACCGATGAGGAGGAGGTAGATGCCTGGCTCGACTTCCTACCCTCCCTACTGCCGCCCACAATGCTGAACTGAGTTAATGCGAGAAATTTTTCTTACAGTCATGGCACGATTACAAGTTAAAATGGGACCCGAAGGAGTATGGTGGAGTGGAGATGCTACACGTGCCCTCTGACCACATCTGGAGACCAGACATCGTACTCTACAATAAGTGAGTCTACACGAAACACAATGAGACAGCGTCCACAATTATTGACAACACTGTGACACCATGGAGCTGAGTCCTTCTTGAGAAACCGCCCGTCGCTGAGCCATTCAAGAACTTTCCAACAATTTATAGAACCGGAATGTTCATTACCGTGTTAACAAAGGTCCACTACTGGTCCCTATCCTGACCCTGAGGAATCAATTCCATAACATTCCACCGTATTTCTCCAAGGTCCACATTAATATAATCCTTCTGCCTACTGATAGGTTTTCCTAGTGGTATTTTTCCTTTTGGTTTTCCTACCAAAACTTCCAATGCATTCCTCTTCTCCCCAGTCACTCACTCATGGAGCTGAACCCTTCTGGAGGAGCCGCCAATTCTGCAGCTATTCAAGAATTTTCCAGCATTTTATGGAACCCGAATGTTCATTACCCTGTTCAGAAGAGCCCTCCACTGGTCCCTATCCTCAGCCAGAACAGTCTAATCTATACCATCCTATCCTATCTCTCTAAGAACCATTTTAGTATTGTCAACCCACCTGCGCCTTGGTTTTCCCAGTGGTCTCTTTCCTTCTGGCTTTCCCACCAATATCCTATATGCATTCCTCTTCTCTCCCATTCGTACTACATGCTCTGTCCACCTCATTCGCCTTGAATTATTCATTCTAATTACATTTAGAGAAGAATAGAAATTATGAAACTCCTCATTATCCAATTTTAACTCTGAACAGGATTATAACTCAGGATTTGAGCTAGCTGTTGTTATAACGCTGTGTAACAGACATTATAGCCCAGAATATATAACTCTTCAGGCTTATAATGCATTTACTTACGACATGCAGTGGCATGTGTGGACAAGTTACAACTTGTTTCGTTCAGTATTATGCCGACATCTGGTCTAGTATAGGTTATGTGTCTAGTGACCCTTGTATGTGTGTTTTGTGTCGTGCCATAGCTGAGCTTGTTCACTGCCAACTGGCTTCTCACCACGGAGAATCAGTTTCAGTTTGTGCACTGAACATGTTGGTTCAAGTGGCAACATTTGTGACCTGTGTTTGGAAAGACTTTTGTTCCAATCTAGGTCAGGACTCGTACTATCTTGACTGAGATACTTGCTTGGCTTTATTCAGTCGCTCTAAACAGGTGAACGGCTCGTTAGTATCTCCAAATATGCTACGTCAGCTTCCGTTGCAATCCTTTCAGGTTCGCCTAACATGATCATGCTCTTTGAGCATCATTCATTCATTCATTCATTCATTCATTCATTCATTCATTCTCATTCCTGTTGTTCCCTCTGGAGCATAGAGCTTTCGTGAAACGCTTCGTTTCACTTCAGTTTCTTAATCTATACACACTCTGTAGTACTCCTTAGAGAGGGGATCAGCCCTTGGCAAGACTGCTACCTGCACAGGATAACACAAATACAGAATAAATGCTGACAAATATCATGACTCGAGTGGGATTCGTTACAGTTGATAAAGTGTCCTACAATAACTTACAATTAAGTTAGATCTGAGATGTTTACGATAGTGATTATGAAGAGTATTACCTTTCGGGTTGTGATGCCGTGTATTCTGATAGATATTTACAGATATTTCGGAACAATTATCGTAGACGATGAGCAAGTCATGTAAGCAAACATTAGAATACCTTAACCTTCCACTCAAAACACTGGAGCAGTACGTTGCCTCTGGAACGTCTGTAAGCTTCTACCAGTCTACACGGCGTCACATCCCAGAAGATTGTGGGATGCCTTTCAATTATCGATCTGTTCTGTTAGACTCATATTCGAGAAACTTACTATCTTACAATCTTATGTTTGTGTATTTTTTTTTGTTAAAATCGATAATTTGTTAAATGACACTAAGAAAATCCTGTACATTTTCCAGACGCCAGAGATAAGCACAGACGGACGAAAAAAGGAGAGAAGGTCCACAGTAGCCATCTCGATACGTAAAAGTCGCGTGTTTTTAATCTAGAGTTTGATATTCTCAATGTCACAGCTCATAGCTCTTTTGAAATAGTAACAACAAACGCGCCACTATCAAGTGACAACAAATTAAATATCACAGTTTTTTAAATCATACCAGTAGTTACATGCATCACATGTTTCTACATTAAAGACACAGCGTTTTGCCCACACAGTGTATTTGTGTGTTGCATATGATTCTTGGAGAATAAACAGATAATTAGCATTAATCAGTTGGTTTTTATAATTGAGATACAAGGTATTAACTGAATTTTAAAATATTATTTAGATGAATTTCATGTTTAAAAGTTCTGAAAAATCTTAATATAGCACTCAGTTATAAAAAATATTTACAGAGTTCTCATAAGCAGTTCTGAAATTCTGAATAATTTGTCTTATCAAAGTTTTTCAGTTGGAATTGTTTTACTAGTATTTTTGCAGTGAAAAGTGTGATAGGAAATTAGACGTACGTTTTATTTATAAAATTCGTACTCTTTTGGGTTGCTTCATATTTTTAGGTAGGCGGTAGCCTGATCTCTGACAAGCCCGTTTACATCCTTAAATATTATTATTAATGTACGTATATCAAAGTATCTTACGGTAAGTTTACTTATTTCAGCTAAAAATATTTTGTTATTTGATCTGATTTCAGTTAATTCTAATTTTATTTATCGTGATATTGTTCTTTTGTTAGTCATTGGAGTCAACAAAGTCTCTTTCTGCTATTTTAGCTTTTATCAGAATACTCACACACATGCCTTTTCCTTAACAAATAATTTCCCATTTGCGTCTTGAATAGGAATCCGCAAAGTTTCTTCTTGTAATAGGTCAAAGATTATTAATGGCGTTCATTGTATTCCGCTTCAAGTGTTACACAGAATTTGGATGACAGATGTATCGATAAATATTTCAATGTGTGTGAAAACATTGTCCAGTAAATTCAACGTTTTCTATACAGACGATTCATAAAACTTTCATAACTTGTTTTCAGCGCTGATGGAAATTTTGAAGTCACTCTGGCAACGAAGGCAACGCTCAACTTCACTGGCCGCGTGGAATGGAAACCGCCGGCGATCTACAAGTCTTCGTGCGAGATCGACGTAGAATATTTTCCGTTTGACGAGCAGACGTGCGTCATGAAGTTTGGATCGTGGACCTACGATGGTTTTCAGGTAAAGAGAATTGAAGTACGTCAATATTTAGCACTCAGTATAGAATGTTTTCACGTTCTATGCATGTTTTTATTTTGTAATAACCTCACTTTGTGTAGGCTGGGTTTTAAGTAATTTGGTATTTTAAGTGTATTAAACGTTTGAGACCAACATTGGGCATTACAGTTTTATTATTAACTGAAGATTTAAAAGTATATACTTCCATGTAATCATATATTTTGATAACAACTGACTAAATGAATAACATTCATCCATAATTTCCTCTGTTTTGCCTTTCTTATTTTGTCTTCCATTTCTCTTCGTTTCTTATTCTTTCTTCTCTTTCCTCCCTTTATGTATAGTTTCTTCTACAATTTCTTCCTTTCTGCTGATCTTCATTCTATGCCTTCTTTGCCTCATTCCTCCTCTCTCGTTCCTTATTTACTCATTTCTTTTTCTCCTAAAATAGTCCTCCATTTTCCTTTTACCTTTCCTTATCTCACCCCCATGCTTTCTTCCCTTATAATAAATGGAGAAGTAGAGGTGAGGAATTGCGATGCATAGAAATTTGAACAGCCACTCAATGCTTATTCACCGCCCCGGATATTGGAAAGAAAATGAGAAATTAAGATGGAACTCGAGGAGACTTCTCTCCTAAAAGACCGGTAATCAAATAAGGGCAGGAATAGGATCCTGTTACAGCTGTTTGAAACCGCACCCTTACCCCAAAATTACGTCGACTTCACACAGATCACAGCGTGGTTCAGAGAACGAATGCACTAAGTTGTGACTGGTGGAAATTATACGTCAGTCAAACAGGTTCCTTCTTTTATAAAAAATTAATTTTATAAAGAAGACTTTATTGATATGCTTGTGTAATTAAATTTGAAGTTTCAAAGAGAACTACGACTTGATAAGCAATATAGTAGGTGACACTATTTCAGAAATTAAGACGTGTAGAAATTATTCGAAATCTCATGCATATATCCAATGTGCTCTTGCCCTCAAAACAGTATACCAACTTGCACCTCTTTCCAGCAACACTGCCAAACGTTGGAATAGACACTTACTGTCATCAGTTACTCATTTCGCAGTGTGAGCACAAATAATTCCAAACAAACACCTGTAATTACGTATTACACCAATATTTCCATTTGTACAGTTCAACTGTAATTTGCAGCAATGTGATCTGTTCGGTAGATACTTTTGTCGGTTGTTCTATGTAATTAATTCAAACTGATATAACATAAAGAAAAAACAAAATCCGTGGCTTGTAGTTAGCAAGCGAACTATACCGACTGAGCGACCGCCGCTTGTCTGCGAAGTTAGTGCCAAATTTGCGGATAGAGAGTGTCACGTGGTCAGCGCAACGGATCCCCACGGCCGTTAATCTCGGTTTTCTAGACAGGATTCAAACTGATATATAGATGAAGAATTCTATATTCTGGAATATAAGGTCGTGTAATCAGTTGAAAATTAATTACATTTTCATAACCAACGCTATGAAAACCTCAAATACTACAGGATACATTAATGTCGCTAGTAGAAAAAACCCTCGAAAATAAATTAACTTCTTCATGTGTCCACATTTGGAAGTCCAGTCTCTCTAAGTTAATTATTACACTGTCATATTTAAATAATGGGAAATTCTGCGCCATAGAGTTTATATTTTTCTTTGGAAATATTTATCAAGACACAAAGTCGAACACAGGGCGGTTACAAGTTTCAGACAAAAATAAATGAGTGTATTTCATGAAGCAGGACGTCGAGAGGTCTAAATCTATAGGACAACTCTATTCAATTCCTAGCAAAATCTGATTAAATAAATCGATCTATGCATTTTCTCTCTCGAAACCTCTCTCATACACATGCATCTTATTTCTAATTTCCTCTTCTGAAATATAGCGTCGACTTCCCCTTCAGATAAGAAGTTTACACCGTTTCGAAAGAGACCACAATTCCTCTTCAGTTAGTTATGTGTCATAGTTTGCCTGCTCTATGTATAAATTCGGAAATTAATTTGGCATCTGTGTCTTATGTACCGGTATCTAAACGTTCCTGAGCTTGATAATTTTGGGTACCAAGTAATAAGCTCCCAAGGCGACCTAAAATTCGTTGAGACCGACCAGTAAATAACATTTCAAAGTTAAAATACAACATTCCTATCATCTCACCCGAATTCTACTCCATCATTCCGAAATAAGTTGCATGTACAAATTTAATAAATTATGTAAATTGCTGGAATGAAAAGAAGACACTCATAGAAAAGATTTGAGGCTTTCACGGCGGTGACTATGAAGAAAGCAGTCTTCTTGGACTTGGCACCGTGTATATGTCTGCTTTTACCGGTTCTCACGGTCTCTTCGCTTGCGGATTTCTTATATTTTTCCTTCTACACTGAAGATGGAGGCGATACGTTCCTCCGAAACGTCAGTTAACACCACATATACACGGTGCCAAATCCCAGAAGACTGCTTTCTTCACTCATAGAAAAGTTCCCCATGTTCGAAATGAGTTTAGTATTGAGGTATGGACACTTTTACACTGACCAGAAGACAGATCACTCTCTCAATGTACTCGTACATAGAAATATTTCAGTGGTGAAACTGCCCTCGTTCATGCTGTTTAATAATGTCACGTGTTTGAATGACTATAGGACCGCTCTGTGGTCTAGTGGTCATAGTTCCTGCATACAAATCCAGAGGTCGTGGTTCGATACCCGGCGCTACCAGATTTTTTTTTGAGAAGTAATTGGTCTGGAACGGGGCCCACTCAGCCTCGTGAGGATAATTGAGGAACTATTTCAAGGAAATAGTGGCTCGGGTCTAGAAAACCGAAATTAACGGCCGTAGGGATTCGTTGCGCTGACCACATGACACCCTCTATCCGCTAAAGTTGGCACTAACTTCGCCGACAAGCGACGGTCACTCAGTCGGTATAGTTCGCTTAAGGAGTACAGGCCACGGAGTGTTGTGGCTTAAGAAATAATTTGTTACTTTCAGGTGGATCTGCGCCATATCGACGAAGTAAAGGACTCGAACGTCGTGGAGATCGGCGTGGATCTGTCCGAGTTCTACACGTCTGTAGAATGGGACATCCTGGAAGTACCGGCGGTGAGGAACGAGAAATTCTACACGTGCTGCGACGAACCGTACCTGGATATCACGTTCAACATCACGATGCGCCGCAAGACTCTCTTCTACACCGTGAATCTCATTATTCCCTGCATGGGCATCTCCTTTCTCACTGTGCTGGTATTTTATTTGCCATCTGACAGCGGTGAGAAGGTGTGTTTACTCTGTTCTTACACGTACTATATTTATATATCACAACCCAGGTACTAGTACTTTTTTTTATTGCTAGTGGGGTGGGACTAAGTCCCTTGTACTGCGGCCACTTCTGGCCTATTGTACCAGCCCCAGATGATAAGTGAGGATGATTGTGTAGTAATTGGTGGAATGAAGATTGGCAGGGGAAACCGAAGTACTCGGAGAAAACCTGACCCAGCGTCACTTTGTTCACCACAAATCCCACTTGACCAGACCCGGGATCGAACCCGGGCCGCCGCCATGGGAAACCAGGGAATAACCGCTTGAGCTATGGCGCGGTCTAAGGTACTAGTAATTAAACCTCCCACAAATTTCATCCGACGCAGACAAAGTATCAAGGCGAAACTGGGGCCAAAACGGTAACAATTCATCAACTAGTTGAGCCTAATGTTCACTCCGATATCAAGGTGGATAACTATCGAGAACTGCTGATAAATAAGTTGCAAAGAAAAACAGTAGCTCCACAAATGTGAATCAGTGGAACTCTGTCCATGTCAAATTCAAATAACATTACTCTCTCTGCAGCGAGAAACCAGCATTTACTGTGTGATTGAAGCAAACAATTTCATGATAGCAAGTTGGTAAGAATTTATCCAGTCCACTTCTGTCAGTTTTCGTTGCTGTGACTGTACAGTTATGTGACCTGGTATTTATCCACACAATCAGCTCTGGACCTTTGAGAAATTATGTGAAAATAGGAATGGTCTGTAACAGTTTGAAGAAAGGTCTCAGTGACTACTTCTTGTGACCGCTAACCAAATTTCGAAGAGAAATGCCATGTCATTACAATGTTATTTAGCAATTGTGTCTGCTTATGGGAGAAAATACTTAAGCACATCTTAAATCTATTGATTTGCAGCAGTATATTGCATTAGCACACCACAATACCGCCACCTTATACACACTCTCACGTGTCTGATGTTCTCAGGTGAGCTTGTCCATCTCCATCCTGCTGTCTCTGACTGTGTTCTTCCTACTGCTCGCAGAGATCATCCCCCCCACTTCATTGGTTGTACCTCTGCTTGGAAAATTTGTGCTCTTCACCATGATCCTTGATACTTTCAGGTATTAGAATTCACTTATTGAATTTGGCATGCTGAAGTGCATGGTTTGACCTCTTAATATTTTGTTCAAATTGTTGAGCTTGTTCAAGTGGAAGTGTTGGTCTGGACTGTCTGGTCTAGCTTTTGTTTCACCTGAAAACATACTATTTTAAACACATCAGTATACATTAAAATCAGGTGACTTCCCTTTGGATTGTTACAGCATCTGTGTGACAGTTGTGGTGCTCAATGTTCACTTCCGTTCACCACAGACACATACTATGGCCCCCTGGGTTCGTCGTGTTTTCATTCATATTCTTCCTCGTCTTCTCGTAATGCGTCGACCACAATATCAGATAGACAAACGAAGGTACGTGCCAGTTTTTGATGATGCTTAACTTAAGGACAACATATTACAAAGCATGAACATCCATGTATTGTGCCAACATAATCACTGGATCTTGTGAAACTTCTTAAAGTAACAGGAAATTTTTCAAAATGTTATTTATTTTCATGTTACAAAATTGAAAAAGAGAATTATTATATTGAAAGTGGAAATAACTTCCTTATATGAAATAGCATTGAATGCTACCAAAATTTATGGTTTCTGTTGGCTAAAGTAACAATTCTTTGACCTTTTCTTCTTAATGTAAAGAACACTGTGGTAATAAAATTACTGCAAGAACGAATGTGATTCCAGACATCTCTTGTAAGCTCTTATTAAATAGTTGTAACTATATAAATAAACACACATATCTGCTTGTATAAAAACTAAGTAAATAATGTGAAAGGCATATTAATATCTTAACTGACACATGGGGGTTAGTGTACTGCAAGGAAGGAACACTGAATTACTCTTAATACCATTACACTCAGGCTCTAAATTGAAAGGTTATGCCACCATACTTCAGTTAATTTTGTGCTAAAACACTGAATCCTTCTTACTCTAAGTTTTACACCACACATCTCTTCTACTAATTAAATAAAAATTCTAAATAAAAGAACAAGAACAAGAACAGGAACAAGAACAAGAACTGTTGTTGTAATGTACACAATGATGCTGTGCACTGCATGACTGTTGCTCATCAATGAAACAATAGTGGACATACATCAGTTCAGGTATTGAACTGCATATGGTTTCACAGTAACAAAACAACCGCGACATAATTAGTTTATGCAAGTGCATATTATTTATTTTCCAGAAAAATAGAGCAAAGGAGCTTGAGTCTTTAGACTTTAAGTATCCCTTTCACAACAGAACCAACTAAGGCATTTAATTTCTTTGCACTGAAAATTGCTATATATTTGTACAGTAATAGCTACAATATCCAGCACTGGATGTTCCAGAAACCTTAACGACCTTGAAAGTAATTAATTTTGCATATGACCATTAAAAAATAGAAATATTTATATCTTGTTGGTTTTTTCTTAGATTATGTATGTATATTGTACGTATGTATGTATGTATGTATGTATGTATGTGCCGGTCATGGTAGCCGAGCGGTCTAAGGCATGCACTGTCTTCGCTTGCTCGGAAGACGGGATCGTGGGTTCGAATCCCACTCAGAGCATGGATGTTTGTGTGCGGTTTTCTGTGTTTGTGTACAGGTAGAGGCCTTGCGATGAGCTGATCACTCGCCCAAGGAGTCCTACCGTATGTGTAAGATCTAGAAAGGGGTTCATGGACGTAGGCCTAGGCCCACTGGGGCTGTAGTGCCAAGTGAGCCGCTCTGCCTCTGCTACCGCTACCATTTGCGCCGTCTTACGGTCTGCTACCACGGCACCGTCACTCTCTGGCACCTTTCGGCTCCGTCTACCCTTCCTCAATCGGAGGGGGAAACGTTGATCCGTCATATGGCTCTCGTGCTGTGCTCGCACGCTCCCTAAGTTAGAGTAAGGGATCCAAGCTAGTAGCGAAGTAAATCTAGTTACAAATGATGGCAATCAATATATTAACAAATAACAGAATTTAATAAACACAACAGAAATTAAACAGAACAACTGAACTAACTGCACATTTACATGCTCGCACACAGCGGCATCTAACTCGGGCAGAATGGCCCATATTTACTGGCGCAACAATTTGCCTTGGTTGCATGAAAACATAACTACTACATTATAGCCGGGCCACAGGCTGAGTCTAAATTAAATACACAATATAAATTATAAAAACAGATTTAACCAAACTGGTACGAGTCGCCGCCGTCCTACAAACCCAACGACGGGCGACCGCGGGCGATCTCGTCGGCCGCGAACCAGCCCAGTACTTGCCGAAACCAAATTTGGACTCCCAGCCGAACAGGAATTTGACAGTCGCTCCGGCTGGCTCGGCGCCGCGAGCAAGGCCCTATGGATCCATAACCAGAACTGAACTCCGAACTCGAATTAACTTCCAAGCAAGGCTCCCAGGGGTAGAAAGGAGGGGAGAGGGCAACACCACGTGACCCAGTCCCGCATGGGGATGGGGTGGGGGATAAGTTTAAGAACCTCGATCAAGGGGCTGGAAGCCCATGACGTCATACCGGAGCCACTGCATGGCTCAGCATCCCGCCCCCATCCCTCTCGCTCGTTCTAGGAAGAGCAGAGTACTTGCGCCTAGTCGTGAGTACAACACAATATCCATATCAATGATCACCCATGACCTTCACTTAGCTCCGCCGGGGGTTCTCAATATCTCAGTCCTCCAGACTCAGTAGCGTGCCATTACGGGTCCATATCACCTTCAACTCACTACGGTTCCATTCACCTCCCGTACTAGTCTGTGATATCATTTATGCCCCAGCACATCACTCCCCCGAAATGCGGAGTCCAGTTCACGCGCACTCAACACTTTTCCCGAACGTCCGCGTCTCCTGCCGCTCTGCCATCCATGGCTGACAGTAGTTGGTGGTTTCCTCTTCGGCCGGTCTTGTGCAGTCCCTACAGGGCCCTCGAGGGACCGCAGCGTGAGGCCAGAAGAATCGACTGAGCGCACGACGATCGGGTCCAACCAAGCGAGAAGGGGGGCCTGAAGTCCTGCGTCGCGTCTCCATCCATCCAGGCTAGGGTATAGGTGTGGGAGGGAGAGAAACACAAGACAGCCTGCTCGGAAGGAAAAATAAACTTAAATACATGGCCATAAATTACCTATCTAGCCGGTACGGCTTACATTCTAAGATAACAAGCACAAATAATAACAAATCATACTTCTGAATGCCATCTAGCCCGGTGGAAAGTGTCTCTTTAATTGGGAGACATGGGCTTTTCGTACAATCACCCCCGTATCCGGGTTAGCCAACAACACTGTAACGGGCGACACAAACCTCGCCAATCTCATAGGTACTGACCATTTAAGGTCCAGTTTTGCGGAACGCTGCTGAGACTTCGAGCTAAGCGGGTGCAGCCTTAACATGACTAAGTCTCCCACTCGAAAGTCGACCTGCCTCCTACCCACATTATAACGTTCCTTCACACGGGCTTGAGCCTTCTTTAAATTGCTCAGCGCCTCCTGCCAAAATTCTCGAACGTCTTTCACTTCCTTATTCAAGTCCAGTTCCGCTAACTCCCATTTTAACCCAAGGGGATGGTTCAGGTCTCTCCCCAAGAACAGCGAGGCAGGAGTCGCTGCAGTCGACTCATGCCAAGCGGTGTTAAACGCTAGGGTCAAGGATGCTAAATGGTCGTCCCAGCGAGTGTGCTGATCATGATGATAAATGGACAATGCCACCTTCAAATTGCGATTGAATCGCTCTACTTGCGATGCCTGGGGGTAATACGGCGAGGTGGTGATGTGCCGTATTCCCCAGGAAAAACATAAGTCGTAGAAGATCTTAGATTTGAACACCGCGGCATTGTCCGACACAATCGCCTGGGGGACGCCAAAGGACGCGAAAAACCTTTCCACAAGGCAGCTTCTGACAACTTCGGCGGAAATCCGCCTGACGGGGTACATGCTTATGAACTTCGAAAAGCCATCCAGAACCACCAAGATGGCTATGTTGCCCTTCCGGCTCCTGATGATCGGTCCTACGAAGTCAATAAAAATGCGCTCCATGGGGCGTGTTACTACTTGGCTGGCGTGGAGGCCAACCCGAGTGTCGGGGGCCGGCTTGGCCCGCTGACAATCCTGGCAACGTGATACAAAGGCTGCCACTTCCCTTCTCATATTGGGCCAATAAAAAACTCTAGCGATGCGATTCAATGTCTTAGTTATGCCCAGATGGGCGCTCAAATGAGACTTATGGAAGTACTCTAAGATCATCGGCCGCAACGCTTCGGGAAGAAGATACCTTTTTGTCCTCGCTCTCGATGGATGGTAAACCAGAGCACCATTCAGCAATTTAAATTGCCTTACACTTGGGTCGTTCTGAACGACCTTCTGATAGATATCTCTACACAGGAGATCCTTTTTCTGGTGTTCTGTGATCGACTGAAATGCTTCTGGAAGCTGGCCGAGGACTAGACCTGACAACGTCGCATCTTCAGATGGCTGTTCGTATTGGCGAGTGAGACAGTCTGCTACCACATTCGCCTTCCCACTTATATGGGCAGCACGAAATTTAAATGGTGCTAGCCGAAGAAGCCAACGCCCAATGCGCCCTAATTCTTTCGCATGGCGAAGCAGCCAGGCCAGGGCTTGGTTGTCGGTGAACAGTGTGAACTCTTTATGTTCTAAATAACTTCTGTATTTTTCACAACCATATACAACAGCTAGACACTCTCTCTCGTAAACTGCATATCGGCGCTCCGCCGGAGACAACAGCCGGCTGGCATACGCAACTGGCGCCCACTGCTCGCCGTTCCCTTGCTGGAGAACGGCCGAGATGGCGACGTCACTAGCGTCGCAAACAAGGGAAAATTTCAGAGAAAAATCTGGGATCTGCAATACTGGTGGAGTCGCTAAGGCTTCCTTCAACTGGAGAAACGCCGCCTGTTGGGGATCATCCCATTCGAAACGAGCGTTTTTACGCTTAAGTGCATGCAGCGGTTCGGCAATGTGAGAGAAACGCGGGATGAACCGGCCATAAAATCCGGCCATTCCTAAGAATCTCCGAACCGCCTTCAGGTTTTTTGGTGGAGGAAACGATGTAATGGCCTCTACCCTCTCCGGTAAAATCCGGATTCCTTCAGCTGACAGCAGATGACCCAAAAACGGGATTTCTCGTTGCGCCAAGCGGAGCTTATTCTTATTCAAAGTAAACCCTGCCTTCTGCAACCTAGCGAAAACTTCCCTCAGGTGATCCAGGTGCTCCTCGCGAGATCGGGAATAAACCACCAAGTCATCCATAAAATTATATACGAACTTGCACTTGAGGTCCCCGAATAAGGTGTCGACAACTCGAGACAGCACCTGGCATCCGACGCTAATCCCCATGGGCAATTTTGTAAACTCGAACAACCCAAAGGGGGTGCAAAAGGCCGTTGCCTTTCGGCTCTTGGCCGACAGGGGAATCTGGTAATATGCAGAATTTAGGTCCAGTACAGAAAAAATCGTCGCCTTCTCAAAATGAGCAAAGGCACTCTCCACGTTTGGCATAGGAAAAGCGTCAAACACGATTTTCTTGTTTAGGAGGCGATAATCAATCACCATTCGCTGACCTCCTGATGGCTTCGGAACTAAAAACGCCGGACTGGCGTATTGAGAATAGCTTTTCCGGACCACTCCTTTGTCCAACAGATCCTGGACTATTTCCCGCAGCAATTTTAATCGCGGAGGCGAACACTGGTAGGGCCTCGAGCGTACAGGGATATTGTCGCTGAGATCAAGATGGCAGGTCATACCCTTGACTGTACCTAGCCTGTCTGAAAACAGGCCCGGAAACTCTTGCAACAATTCAACAATATCAACAGGCTCCTCCGAACCAGCTACAGAGGGTCCGCACAACAATGCCGCGACAGGCTTGACGGAAGATGGAAATTTCAGCGACATCCCTAGACGTAACTCAAAAGGCTCAAAATCAAAATCTTTCTCGGGGCAGAACCGGAAACTATATTTCCTAGCCACGAAGTCAAGTTGCACCTTGGCGTGCGACATAAAGTCCACGCCCAAGATACACGGGATGGGACTATCGCGTAAGATAGAAAAACGCCATTTCCAAGAAAAAGTGCCAATCTTAATACCCAAAACCGCTTTCTCAGCGATAACACAGGGCTCTCCGTTCGCCATGACACAGCGCTCCTGTACGGGTTGCAGCGTACATGGCAGCCCTAACTCCTTAATATTGTGTAAAACATCCCGCCTTATGAACGACCGTGAAGATCCAGAGTCGAATACGGCGGGTAACCAATACGCCCCAATACTCAATGTTACACATGGGGTCAATAAACCCGAGTCATAACGATAGCAAGTTTCCCGAGGCTGTGACACGCTGGGCGCCCGGAATGAACTCTTCACTGCCGAGCGCCTCTGGCGTTTCCCGAACGTCCGGCCCGTGAAGTCGGACGCGTCTTGGAAGGGCATGCGCTTTGGAAATGGCCTGTTTTTCCACAAGCCCAGCATGCATTCTTAAGCTCGGTTTTTGCCGGTGAACCCTTGGTTTGAACCGTGGCGTTCACAAACGGCCTGGGATCACCCTCTCGCGGAAAGGACCCAGTCGTCAATCGACGCTGGTCCTCAACCGCCACTGCTTCTGCGACCGTTGTCGCTAGGGAAAATAAACTTGCAATCGACTCCGGCCGGTTTTGAAATACACAATACGATTTAATTTTGGGGTGCAAATTTTGCACTATGCGGTGGACTAATTGTACCTCAGTGCCCAGAAAACCCAATATTTTGGCCGCTGATACGACCGACATGATGTACTCTGTCAAGTCTTCTGTAGGAGATTGAAATCTGTCGAGGACGTAAGATACCAGAAATTGTTCTTTAATACGGGGTGGGAGAAACGTTGAGATAATTTCTGCCTGAACCACCCCCCAAGTATCTGTGGATCCCAAATGCGTTCCTAAAATATGCATAAGTCTACCCGATGTTCGGGTAATCAACAACGCCATAAATTCTGTGTCAGGTAATAATTTTAATTCAATTATCTGATTTACTTGAATTAAAAATTTTAGTATCTGTTCAGGGTCCATATCTATCAAGGGGGGAATGGCAGCAATTAAGTCTGTCACTACTTTGATCTTCATCTTGTTTACGGGAGTACCCAAATGACTTGTGGGATCAGTAATCGGTTGAATGGGGTTCCTAGTTTCAATTGACTTAGCTGACACCTGTGGAGGCAGGTAAGGCTCGATCGTGGTCCACTTATCTCTCACCCGCTTCCTCAAGTCGTCCAGCGTTCCTTCCGTCGATACACCTAGTTGACTTGCTAAACTCTCCAGCTGCTGCTTGGACATTTCATGAATCCACGCGCGTGGCATTTTGACTAAGCATGGAACACAACAAGAAAAATATAAATACAATATACGTAAACATACACAGAGCCTATGACAGGTTATTTACAATCCATCGGCCCAGGCACAGCCTAGGGGGCTAACAATTAGCGTTCCAAAGGTCCTAAGTGAAAATCGATCTCTCTGCTACCACTTGAGCCGCTTCCTCTGCTACAATTTGTGCCGTCTGTCCGGTCTGCTACCACAGCACCGTCACTCTCTGGCACCTTTCGGCTCCGTCTACTCTTCCACAATCGGAGGGGGAAACGTTGATGCAGTATGTATGTATGTATGTATGTATGTATGTATGTATGTGCCGGTCACGGTAGCCGAGCGGTCTAAGGCATGAACTGTCTTCGCTTGCTCGGAAGGCGGGATCGTGGGTTCGAATCCCACTCAGAGCATGGATGTTTGTGTGCGGTTTTCTGTGTTTGTGTACAGGTAGAGGCCTTGCGATGAGCTGATCACTCGCCCAAGGAGTCCTACCGTATGTGTAAGATCTAGAAAAACCGAAGTGAACGGGGTTCATGGAGGTAGGCCTAGGCCCACTGGGGCTGTAGTGCCAAGGAAAAAATGCATGTATGTACGTACAGTGTTACATAAGTAGTGACAAGAAGAGAATAGAAAATGAGGCAAGAAAAATAACAAAGGATATCAAATGCCAAATTAAAAGGTTAGGTCTATCCATGAGGTTGCTAGCTCAAGTAAGACACACGTTAGATATATGTTCTAATGTCACGAAAATTACGATATCTGTCAACGCTTTTGTCCTGGAGCTGCTGGATATGGCATCTTCTACTCTGTCTCTTCACAAATGACTAAAAGTGAAAAAGGGCGAATATTAAGTAATTTGGATTCTGTCCTACATACCAGGAGACAACTGAGGACCTGTCAGTTTGTAGTTTTGTCACTGGTTCCTATTTATTCATATTTCATTATCCTGGTTGATAAAATGTTGAATGGGACCAGGAGCACAGGATATTTTTAGTCATCTTGCTATGTTCACTGTAGTTTTATGGGCTCTTCTGCCCGAATAATGGTGCGCACCTGTAATGGACTTGAACTGCGAGATCCAACTCTGTTGGCTGAGTCATCAGCATCTGAGCTTGTTGATTCCTCTCACACCACAGAGCTGTTTCCCACACTGGATTCGCATGATGAGTTCACTCCCAGGTGAGAACAACCATACATCTTAAAAGAAATTAGTACTCAAATATTTTTCAATCCATTATTTATTTATATGCAACCTGTAACATAAGACTTGGGAGCACGCATAGTGTAGTGGTTAAGTCACTATGCTACAAGTCGGAAGGTCACGGGTACAAATACCAATGAGGTCAATGGATTCTTTCAATTGACCTAATCCTTCGGGCAGCAGTATGGCCCTGGGGTTCACTCAGCCTCTAACAGAAATGAGTACCAGGAATTAAATAAATAATTTTCCTGGGGAGTAGAGCGCGGCCGGCGCGTAAGGCTGACAACCTTACCACCATCTCTGAGCCGATTGTCTAGATACTGTGGGACCCTTAACGTCTCACAACCCTATGGGACTTCATGGCCTGTTACAGGGATAGCTTTACTTTTTTTTTTTTACTTTTAACATAAGACTTGTAAAATTATATTTGTGACTTCAGATATGTACATATTTCCTTTATTATCACCAACAACATTTTTGAGTCATTCTTGTGATGAAACATGTCATTCATTATAATAAATGTTAAAATTGAAACAGCTAAAACTGTAAACTTAAATCAAAATGTGAACTTTCTGTCACTATTCATTGCCTTTTGGTTCTTGCTATGGTACTCATAGACAAAACAAACTCCATGGTTTTAGTCTGCAAGTGAACTATACCGACTGAGCAACCGTCACTTGTCAGCGAAGTCAGTGCCAACTTTGGCGGATGGAGGGTGTTGCGAGGTCAGCATAATGAATCCCCACAGCCGTTGATTTCGGTTTTCACAAGGCTGAGTGGACCCCATTCCAGACCCACTACTTCTCAGAAAATCTGGTAGCACCGGGAATCGAACTCAGACCTCTGGATATGTAGCCAAGAGCTCTGACCACTGGACCACAGAGGGGGTCGCAATGGTGCCCACATAATTTGGATTCAACACTGCTGCTCAAACACTTATTTACCCTCCTCATTCATTTTATTAGTTAAAAAAAACATTCAAACTAAGAGCAATCAGTGGTGGGTGTGGATGGACTGATAAACTGTTTAAGGTCACTTCCATCTTGTTCTCCAGAGTCACAAGATAGTGATTAATTTTATAGTACCTGCATGCAGGATTAAACTGCACAAACTGAAACTTCCCAAGTCTGTGGAATTTATTTCTCAGTCATCAGGACTCAGAGCCACATGTAGAAGGTTTGTTTCTTAGTGTTGCTATTGTAAATTTATTCTTTTATATCGATAATTGACGATCCATTATCCTTCTCCCTTGACCAAGTTAAAATCATAAGTGTGGTTATGGTTCTTGGGATCAGAACTAGAAAAGAAAATCGGTATTTATAATCTCCATAAGAGTCTCATCTAGTGCAATGCACATGCTGTAATTTATTTTACTGTCTTTACATGTCTGAACTTTCCTCTTGTTTGCCGTTATATGTTGTTTCTATTGCAGTAAATACAGATGTTACTTATGGCTACCAGTAGCATTTCTAATGTTTCTGCTGATGTGTGCATTTCCTTGTGGATTTATGACTACTGTGTATTTGTGGTAGGGAATTGGAAGCAACAGGTCTGGGGTCAGGATGTCGAATCCATGGCACACCACCACTACCTCCACTGTGCCAGGAGGATGGGTTCCTGGCACCAGGTCCACTTGATGAAGCAGCTAGTCCATTATGCAGACATCTTCATCACTGGCACAATTGCCCTGAGCTGCATAAAGCTATTGATGGGGTCAAATTTATTGCTGACCACACAAAGAGGGAAGAAGACTCTACTAGGGTGTGTATGTTTGTTCATGCTGGAACGTGTCCAGAGGGGTAGTAGGCTTTTGTGTTCATGGAAAACTCTGAATATATGCTTTCAATTTATTTTTTCACCTATCCATTGTAAATTATAGATTATTATTTTCTATCACATTTTCAAAGGGGGCACACGGTAGCGTAGTGGTTGAGGAGCTACGCTACAAGCCGGAATGTTGTGGGTTCAAGTCCCGATGAGGTCATTGGATTTTTTTCAGTTGACCTAATCCTTCCAGCTGCACTAAGCCCTGGGGTTTACTCAGCCTCTAACAGAAATGAGTACCAGGAATTAATTAAATCCAGCATGTAGGGCTGACAATCTTACCGCCATCTTTGAGCCAATTGTCTAGAGAATGTGGGACCCTCAACGTCTCACAACCCTATGGACCTTCACGGCCTGGTACGGGGATAGCTTTACTTTTTACTTTTATCACATTTTCAAATAAAAATTTGGCTTTCATAAATGTTGATGTTCTTATATGGGATTATTTCTATTTATGCAAATATTCTGCGGAATTCATTATAGTTATTTTTTTATTTATATTTGTATCTAATTTACTCACCATTTCTAGTCCAAGGTATCTGAAGGGAAGCGCTTGTTCTATATGACATGCTGTTAGAAACTGCAAGTACATTTGTGATTGTAAATTGTGAATACAGAACAAAAAATGAATGACCCTTAAATAATAAAACTTTTCCTGTAATACCAATGAGGAAAATAACAGTCTGGGAAGACCTTGGATCCAGTAAAAGTAAAAAAAACATGACATCTATAGCAGGCATTGGTAAAATCTTTTAAATGAAGATTAGTAACAATAACAACACACATTCATAAGACATGGGTTCTGTCATGTGTTTTTGGTTATGATATTGCCCTTAAATTATCATCTCCATTTTAATTATTTCAATCATTCATTTTTGGCACATTCTTAACAAAAAGTTAAAAAAATGCACCCATTTACAATGCTGAGTCTTTCATCACTTTGAAATCTGGAATGCAGGGCCCCTGATTTGCAACAAATCATTATTCAGTATGTCACAGAATTCATGTTGCAAATACTTCAGATCTCCTGCCTATCTGTAGCCACTCTTTAATGATATTTTATGTTTACAGGTGAAAGAGGATTGGAAATATGTAGCAATGGTGCTAGATCGACTGTTCCTATGGATCTTTACACTAGCCGTCCTAGTGGGAACAGCTGGTATCATTCTACAGGCACCAACACTTTATGATGATCGTATTCCTATTGATGTTCGCCTATCTGAGATTGCATCCACTACGGCCAAACCCCATATAGCCACCAGACTCTGAACATTACTACATTTGCGCTCTGAATGCACAAATGTCACAGAGAAGCCCCAGAGGATTGTAGCCCTGATAGAGCATAACAAATTGAAAGCAATGGCGTTGCTAAATCAAAATAATGGACACAAGCCCATCTTTATAATTTTGAAAGCTCTTTTTACCGAAGGATGTGGCTTGTTTGTTTGTTTTTTGTTTGTTTCTGTTCATACACGGCTGGTACGGATCATAAAAATTGAAGGCCCATGTGCACAGGAGGACACTGGACATTGTACCTGCCTGGGTCATGTATAGCAACATCCTTGCAACTTAGATTCATCTACTTCACCTGATGACTGATTGTAGTTGTAATTGATTTTTGCAGACAACAGTTTTCACATGGTAGTTTATTCCTGAGATATGAGTAAAGTAAATGAAGGGGATTTTATTCATTCTTGATTGTAAGTTATTTGGAATCATCCTCTGATAATTAAAAATTTCAAAACCAGGAAATTAAACAAGAATGCTGTAAAGACTTATTCTAAATTAAACATAAGGCATTACATATTTTGCTTCTGGATGGAAAAATAATCCAAAACAAAATGGGAGGGGGGAAAGAGAGTTAAGCAGAGTTTCAAAATTGATTTGCATCTGCAAATTTTGCACCAGAAACATTCCACACGGGGAGCTGGGGCAGCTCAGTTGGTATAGCAATTAGGGTCCTGACTGGATGATTGATGAGAAAGGGTTTGGTACTTGTCAGAGGTGAAAGATATTTCTCGTTTCCATAATATCCAGAGTGGGTCTGGGTCGCAACCAGTCTCCTGTACAATGGGCTCCAGGGGTTATTACCCCGATAATAAATTGGCAGATGCATGAATCTGATCACTCACCTCCATCTAGTCCTGAATATAGTAATGGTGGAGCTATGCTGCCAGTCCAACACATTTCTTCATGGAGTGATGCTTAATTCAGTCCAGTGATAATTTTTTCCCATGAAGAAATAATGCAAATTTTCTTTAAACAATAAAAAATTTATGTCTCTCCCTTAAAACTGCCCTAATTTAATATAGTATTTACTGATTTGTTTTAATACAAAAGAATGGTCATTTTTAATTCTTTGTGTTTCTTGTTTCGTTCTATCCTCTTTTCATTTCTCTCTCTCTGTCTCTATTTCTTCTTTCTTCCTTCCATCCTTGTTTTTCATTCTTTCATTGAAACTTGGTGGAATATTCTAAGAATTATAGTTTCTGTTAATATTATTGCATTATGTACAAGCTATTTTTCAGACATTAAATATTTTACTTTAGAGGGAAAGGTAACAATTTCAGAACAAAAGAAGTAATTTTATGTAGGCCTAATCACTTCCAAAATGATATGTTTAGTGTGAAAGATGTTAAGCATAAGAAACGAATATGATTTGTTTAGGTTGTGTATGGTGCATAAGGAATGAAACACATTTCTTTTCAACACAAATGCTTCCATTAATCATATAAATTGAGCAGATCCTTGAATAAATGTAATTATTAAAGAATTAATCATCCCTTTTGTTGGAAATATTATTACTTATTTGGAAAATATGTGTAATTTAAAGTTGTAATATTAGCTGCATAAATAGAAGAGAACATTTGCCACAGTTATGTCCCTTTAACATAAAGACAGGAGACTTTAGCACCAGAACACATAAGTAAGAGTTCTGAAAACTTGGCTAAGGTCAGAGAAAAATCTATGGAGAGTAGGAAAGTTTTGAGATCTGAATGCTAATGTTGAAAGAAGGAACATGTGCCTGAGATTAAAATGTATTGAATTTAATATTTATGCATTATGAGGTATAACTTATGCCTCATGGTATACATGGTGCCATACACCACTTCTCAATCACTCTTCACTTCCTTACAGCAATTATTACTTATACCGTATAAGTAATAATTGCTGTAAGGAAGTGAAGAGTGATAGAGAAGTGGTGTATGAAACAGAATGAGTTAGATACTGGCAGATTTGCTGGCAAGCCACTTTCTGTTAATTGTGTTAAAGTCAGGGGCATGGGTCATGACATCTACATACCAGCAGTCCTCAGAGGAAAACAGATGGGCCAGAACATGTACAGGGAAATGCTGGAAATGGAAGTTAGGTTCATAGGTTTCATGTGAACATAGAGGAAACTTTAAGATTCTCCATTCTCAGAAAAGTTTATTTGGCCATACTTGAATCAAAGAAAATCAGGATTTTTAGCAGCATCATTTGCAGTAAGATACTCATGTATATAAGTTTTGAGGTTTTCATGAGAATGAATATTTTTATTTCTATTTTTTGGATTATGACACCGTGTAGGAAGTAGGTGGAGACCAGTGCTTCAGAGGAGCATGCGACCTCCATCTTCAGGGTAGAAGTGAAAATGGAGACAGTATGTTCCTCTGAAAGATTGGTGTTCACCTATCAGTATATTGTATATGGTGTGATAATACGGTATGCATGGTATAAACTGTAACTGGCGTTGATAAGTTCAGGAAGTTAAGTGATCTTAGGGATTTAATTTTGAGGAGCTTAGGAAAAATTAAGAGTTAGGATTCAAATTTTGCCCATAATTACCTTGACCTGAGAGAGTTGCATAGGAAATATGGAAGATATGTTGTAGAGCTGTGAGATTTGTGGCCTTCATGGCAGTGGCTTTGAAATTTACTGCCTCATGGGATGTGACATCATGTAACTTGGTGGGTATCTAGCGACGGTTTGGAGGAACCTACTGCCTCCATCCTCACAATTAAATATTAAACTGAACATTGAAAATAATATTACATGCATGAGGTGAGAGAGGCACAGACATGGGGACACGGGCAATGAATGAATGAATGAATGAATGTATAAGGGGAGGGCCTTCTCAGCCCTTACACCGCGACCAACAGTGATCTATTGTGCTTCCCCTTTTGATTATCCCCTTAGCAATCCTGCACTTCAAATGAAGCCCAGGATTTTGTACGTGGGGACCTCAAAATAGTCACTTGGTTCCATAAAGTATTGACCCAAGTGATGTAATCTTAAATAAGCTAAGGCCTCACATTCACACAGGACATGTGTGGCTCTTTCATTTTCTTCTTGACACCTCTCACAAGTGGGACTATTACTTAATCCCAGTTTTATGAGGTGTGCTTTAAGGTGACAGTGTCCTGCAAGTAGTCCACCACCTGTCATTGCTGGTTCCTGTTTAACTTCAACAGTTCCTTCGCTCTTTTAGCAGAGGGTCCTCATATGAGTCCCTTTGCTTGCCTGATTCCAGTCAAGGATCCCCAGTATTTCTTGTGATCCATATTTGTCCAGTCCCTGATTGCCTTTCTGGCAACCCCTATAGAGATGCCACAGGCTGATTCAGGTCCTATGGATGGATGTTCAGCTCCATCTTAGCCAATCGTGGGACACGGTCAAAGAAATAGGAGCAAGGATGAGAGCGTAAAGAAATATTTTGCTCTTTGATGGATCATTTTACAAGGGCACAGTGACATGAGAAACCATGTTTGAATGAACAAATATGAGGTGAGGGATATTAGAAAAAGCATGGAAAGAGCAGTTTTCTGAAGGTCTTTTTCAAGGACAGAATAAATCAGACAAAAGACAAAACACTAATGTTTTAAGTCAGAGTACAAAGATGGAGGGAAAGGGATGGAGAAGCCTAGGAGAGAAAGATAAAATAAATGGGGTGTAGAAGGAGACTGAAATATTTACAGTATTTTTATACTGAAAAGAGCAGTATTCACTGGGCCTGTGGGGCTCATTTGAGATTAAAATCACAGAAAACCTACAGAGGAGGATTCATGCAGGGAGGAGAGGAAAGATTTCCGTAACTTGTTTAAGTGGAAGTAATGCTATTGGGAGGGAAACTCTATCCCATAGTCAGCGTACTTTTAATTACACAATACTTTGGTTCTTTTAATTCATTATTTAGAATAGAATAAATTAGTTTGTGAATTCTGTTATTTAAGCAGAGTTCTGAGGTGGCAGGACATGCCTTGCTTCAAGCTCTCCTAACAGGCAAGTCTGTCAGTCAACCAGTTTAAATCACTCAGCTTAATTTCAGATTCCAAAAAATAACAGAAATTATAACAGTTGAGTTTCATCTTTAAATTGTTGATGAAAGTAAGTTACATGATGACTCTACAGCAAAAATTAAGCATATTATGGCAAGAGAAATTAATTGGTATGA